TTCCCAATGAGTTCCCTGCCTCCGGGTCTCCGTGGGCAGCAGGGAGCTGGGTAGCTGACATTTGCACATCTTCTCCCATAGGAAGCCTGGAGTAGCTCTGAGGAAAACTGTGGCTCCCATAAGTGGGTTTGAACTAGACCCTGCTAATTGCTGAGCATCATTAAGTTGTATAAAGTTTGATTAAGCATTAAGGAGCGCACGCTCCCGCAGCTTGTGCCAGCCGAGGTCCAGAGAAGCCCAGCTCATTTCTCTACAGCTGCTCTTTTCAATATCCATATGGGAACAAAATTGCCTTTGATTAGAGACGGTTCAGTCTTTCTCAAATGCCCCTTCTCAGCTTCTAAGCTACAGATCTTATTAAGGGCTTTAGAAATAAAGCCCAGTCCTKCATCCTTAGAGCATCACCTGATGAAGAACCAAGTCTAGCTGGTATTTTTTGAAGGACTATAACATTTACTCTTCCACACAGCAAAACGATTCCAGCCTAGCTTGTAACAGCTATATTATGTCTTGTTATTCAGACCCTGCCATCTCTCTCTGAAAACATCTATTGGTCTTAGCAGATGCCAAATCAGCCCAGGCTGACAGATGTTGGATGACTTTCGTTCTTATTCCCCTTGTGCTCTGAAATTTTCATTTCAAAACGCAATATTGAATTGGCCTTGACAAGAACCAGGTGTTAATTCTGATCAGACAATTTCTTCATTACGCACTCTGCTCAGCTGTGCTTTCCTTCCGAGAGCAGCCAAACTCAGCATTGTCATGTCCACAGCAGAACCATTGGCTCCTGCATAGGACTGAGATGTGGCTTTGCTTGGTGACAAGGTGATCTGTAATTAGTTAGTTATTTCCCAAGGAGCCAAAATCAGTCACTGCAGTTTGAAACAGATCCAAGGGAGACCAACCTCGCTTGTGAGGAGGGAAGGGAAAGCGGAAGGGAAAAGGAAGGGGAAAGGAAGGGGAAGGGGAAGGAAAGTTACAGCAAGTGGCCATCTGAGAGCAGAACTACACGGACTGTCCTTACCTATTTGAAAGCTGAGTTTCTTTGCAGTGCATTTCTTTGCATTTTTAAGGACTATTCTCATCATCACCTTGCTTACCAAATAGTAAACCTGCTAAATTAAGTCCCTTGGAATATGTGAAGGAGAAAAAAGCCTCGCTCTGCTACCAGAGAAGTCATTTGGACATCTGGCTGAGTAGCAGGACGAAGCGCCCTGTTTCATTAAGTCCCATCCAGGTTTGGGCTGGCACACTGTTTTTTGAGCTTAATGTCTCCAAGTTTGAAAGACAAGTTGCTGTTGTTGTTTTTAACAGGAGAAGATATCAAAGAGTGGCTTTTGAGTGGAGAGGCAGCTCTGGAAGGGGACATGGTTCCCTGGCAGGTTCTGAGCCCTCTCCACTGATGCTACCTGTTAAAAATTCATACTGGGCTTCAGCACTGCTGGTTGTGCCCTGCTGCTGGGAGAGGGGAGCGCCGAGAAGGGAATTTTCAGAGCCAAAGAAATTTTTCTCCACAATCAAAGGTGCAAGAAAAGAAAATAAAACAACAGTGTGGGTCACATGCTGGCAGATGCTCGGAGGAATGACAGGGCACTTCGCTAAGACATGAGCACAAAGTGGGGTTTTAATCATCCCGTGCTTTAAAGTTTGTTTCGCAGATGAGCTGGCTCTGTGGGATGAAAAAAGGCAATGGAAAACACTCTAGAAACAAGGGGAATTAATCCTGGCTTGTAGAAGAAGGTGCCCTGCTGAGAAGAAGAGATAAGCCCCAGCACCAGTGGCTGCATAATCAGCCCACAGTGAAACTTTGTTTATCTGAAAGCGAGTTTTGGAGGAGAACGTCATTATACCTCTTCTGTCCAGCTTATAAACCTGTGTGCAATCCCACAGGTCACAGGAGAAAACGTAAGCGGGATGCTGAACAGAGGAAAGCTATTCAAAGGAAACTCCAAATTGGTCCCTCTAGGACCTCCAAACCAAAGCAACCAACAGCAGAGCCAGAAGCTGGTGTCACTGAGCCACCTGCATACAAAGCCTCTATAAAATGCCCAGTGAGTGAGGCTGATTGCCCCTTTCCCCAGAGCAGGAGATGGTCACGGTGCAGGAGCACCGGAGCACCCAGCATAGGGGTCTGCAGCAAAAATCCATTGGAGGCTCCAGGAGGCTCCAAATCCAACGGGAGTCTCATAAGCTGCTCCTCTCCTGGCCTGGAGCCCGGGCATCACAGGGAAACTTCCTTTCTACCTTCTTTTAAAGGCAGCAAACACCTGAGGAATTTATATGCAAGCAATCTACTTCCCAGAACTACTTCCCAGTTTCCTTCRCTCCACTACTAAGGTACCTTTTCTTTAAAAAGAAAAAAAAGAAAAAAAAAAAGTTTATTGGATATTTTTGTCCTCTATAGAAGCACAAGATAAATATCAGGTCAGCTCTGTCATCTCTTATTTATCTAATACTCCAGGCAAGTTACTGCGGATAAACAATAATTGAGTACTGGCTGCATTACATTTTGCAAATCACTTTGTAAATTACCTTAGGCGCAAAGTTCTATCCCGGCTTCCTATTTGAATGGCAAAAACTTTGTGAATAATGAATGACAGCTACCAAACAGCAAGCAGCTTGTAGTGATAACACTGCGACATGCACACAGGAACTCGGCTTTTGTAAACATGTTAATGAATATTAATGATTCTCCGAGTGTAGATCACTGACAGCAGCAGGACTTTTTGGTTTTTTACACCCCAGATGGAGCAGATCTTCTCCAGTTGTGRCCATGGTGGAATTACAGAGCTGGTCTGACACTCACCACCCAGCACTGAATCTGTGGGAAGCTGGTCGGCCTTATCCTGAAACCAAGGCAGCACTGAGGGCTTGCACAAAGCTCTTCAAAGACTCCCCAAAGGTGCATCCACCACTTCCCGCTCAGCCCTGAGCTTATTCCTGCCTGGAAAAGGGCTCATGTCTCTGTGCTGTCTCTGGGCTCCCCGCTCTGCCTGGTGGCCCCATGCAGAGCCCTTTGAGCCCTGGTCTTCAGAAAGGTGCCAGACCTGGATTGGCCAGTGTGGAGAGGACTCCTGGCCAACATCCTGCTACGGACAAKACAAGCCTTGGCCTCTGCTCCTCACCATTGATGCAGAGAGCTCAAGGCATCCCCCAAAAAGAGCTGTGCCCATGGACAGCCAGRCATCACCTGCAGTCCTGGGTGGGCATCATCTGCACCCCAAAGAGCAGCAGGGCAGGGGCCACCAGTAGGGCTAGGTGAAGGACCGAGGGTCCCAACGAATGTACTGGATGCTCTGCAGGGATTAGGGTGCTTCCAGCGGGGGTGCAGCGGGGTTGTTGGGGAGGTGGCAGAAGGTTCTGGTGAGCACAGGGATGCTCTTGGGTAGGGATGTGGGGATGCTCTTAGGAATGCAGAGGCACCTCTGAGGACAGGTGCAAGGACACTCTTGGGGACCCAGGGATGCTCCTGGGTGAGCAGGAGGGATGCAGAGATGCTCTGGCAGCTGCTGAGATGCTCTGGGTGTACGAGGGATACAGGAATGCTCCAGGTGAAGGGCACACAAGGCTGCTCCAGGGAGGATTGCCGCTGAGGGGGGCATGCAGGGATGCTGCCCTGGGSGGGACGCAGGGACACGGCTCCGGGGGGTTGCAGGGAAGATGTGGGGAGGATGCGAGCAGGATGCGGGGACGCTCTCGGCGCCTCAGCGCAGCTCTGCGGGGACAGGGCCGCCCCGGGCACGTGCGGCCGGTGCCGTCGCGCCGAGGCAGCGGGGCCGGCGCCCCCGCGGCTGCTCCCGGCCCCCCAGGCGGG